CCTCTAACCATGCCCTGTACATTGTTTAGATGCATAATCAAATTCTTATTATTAGCCCCTGAAGTCATGAACGATCCCCACTTAGGAGAGTTTGCTTAATGATCTAAAGTGAAACACATTCATGTGACTTGGTTAACCCTTGAGCCCCTTGGAGTGACCAGCATCTACCTTCTCCTTACAATATCACTTCCAAATCACACTTTGAGGTTGAAAGAATAAGAGAAATGGTCACCAATTAAATACGCCTTAATCAAATTCTCCCTGTCAGCACCCAAGGAAATGTATGGAGCACAGTATGAAGAATATGCATACCGATTTTGAGCTTTAAAAGGGTAAAAACTCTACATATGGTCGTACATATGAAAGTGCTTTGCCATACACTTCAGCGACTCTTAAATGTTTTTTTTATATAAACTTCATTCTACACATGCGAACTTCTCTTCATTTACAAATACTTTACAATGTCTCCATGAAAGATTGTGTTTGTTGATCGTGGTGAAGAAACAATAAAAACCAAGTACGATAATTGTTTGTCTTAAGACGGAGTAATTTATGATGTGGATAGCGATGTTTCGACTGTATATTCCCGATCTTATACAAACAGCTAAATCGAGTGGTTACGCGTCACTTTATGCGGTATTCTTCTCTTCTGTAATTGGTCGGCTTTTAACAACCAATCGCAGCGGAATATCACGCCTTCTTATGTGACAAGTTGCTTATTTGACAGAGTTTCTTTCAAGTCCCTTCACATCCTAATCCTACGCACCATTGTTTTCGCGGCCTAGAAAAAACGGGAGCGAGGCTTTGTTGTTCACGTCAATCATTTTTTTGGTTGCCATGAAAACTTTAAATGTCACTTGACCTGTTATTAATTGCAGTAACCTTTGTAGGAGACTCCTTCGGCTTTGAGTTGGATATTGTGAACAAATGAATGCGCATGGTGTTAAAGACCGAGTAGAGCTTTTGCTTCTTGGCTTTGTTGTATAAGAGTCTCGCTGGCGTATTTTTCGAGAAGTTCCTGAAATAAAAATGATAACGTTGGTAATGTAATATAGAAAAAGTCACGCGTAAATTGAAGTTACTAAATAAAATAATTGCAGTTTTTAAGTTGAGAGCATCAAAGCCGTACCATTTTCTTTCTTTGAACGAGCATTTCCTCAACCTGTAAGAGCAAAACAGCACTTTGTTAAATTGGACAAAAAATGGAAGAAGTAATTGAAATCAAAGCTGCTTCATGACAAGGCATTCCTGAAGATGAAGCTCTGCAGAAGACGAGAGATCGCCAAAGACGAGAATTTACCGAAGACGACACTTTGTCGAAGACGACACTTTGTCGAAGACGACGACAAACAAAAGATAGTCACAAATTGAAAAAAAAATCAAAAAAAAAATTCAAGCTAGTGTTAAAACCTCTTTTTGTGATGGTACAGGAACATGAGCAACAAATGGTTGATTTCCTTCCTCAGTTTGGTCTGTTTCCATATCATCATCGCTATCCTGTACGGAAAAAGGGGTAAATATGTAGATAAACAAATAAATGAATAAAAAATGAATGAATAAAAGAAAGTTAGAATAGTTTGTCAGTATTTGAACAAAAGCGTGAACAATGTACCGCTTTTGGTTTGATCGTCTTAAAATTAAAAGTATAATAATAACGACGTACGACCGGAAAGAAGGAAAGCATCACGGTACCAATGAGAACTTGAGAGAATAATTGAAAATAAACGCAAACTGCCATAACCGCGGGAAAACGTGAGCGACTCGGACGCGCCTGCCTTAAGTTTTGTATCTGATTGGTTAAGATAAGGCACAGAACTCTCTAGACCAATTACAGAGGATACCGAAGCAAAACCAACGCGACCTGTGATTAATTCAGCGGTTTTCAATTAAGCAATGAAAGTGAATACTGAACCGGTTTGGTTTTACTTTATTTCTTTCTGATTGCTTGAGAAAACCCGCGCCACAACCTCTACCAGCCAAATACAAAACTAAAATCAATCCCAAGTTAGTCACCCGCATTTTCCCGCGCTTCAACCAGGGTTGTCTGCTCTAGCTTTGAGTTCTCCTTGATTAATTGACCCTTTAACTCCCATAAATGACCAAGACAGAATTTCTCCCCACAATATCATTACAATATCAAGCAGACAAGTGATGAGAATAAAGAAAAATATCAATAAGGGATTATTAGTTGATGCAATATCAACTTCTCCAAAGTAACATCATAAGAATCGTATAACTGACAAAAAAGAGAATTTCTTACTAGATCTTAGGAGTGAAAGGGTTGATGGGGTTAATGTATTTACTTTGGTTTTGCTTTTTTGATACTTAATCAAAAACTGCTCTATCAACAATCAATTAAAAACTAATTTACGCATTATAATATACCAAAGCTACATAAAGTTAAAATTATTCAAACTTCAATTCATAATGTATAGAATAGATAAATAAATAAATAAGTGAACAAAGTACAAGAACTTTGTAAATTAAGCTTAGAAGATATCAAATATATATAAATGTAAAATTCAAAGCGGCCTAGCAGCATAGATCACAGTTTTTGAAATTATTTATCATGAGTGATAGGTCTTAGAGTGATAGATTGATATACTTTTTTTTTTTCATGCAGGAATTAGTCTGCTTCACCTCTTGTTCTTTTGTGACAGCATATATATTTTCTTCCTCTTGCTCCTGTTCAGTTCCCAGTTCTCCTGCTTCTTTCTTTCGTTCCCATTCATCCAGTGCTCGGGCGATAGCTTTTGAAATACAAACAAAAAACACCAACATCAGTATGCATATTCTCCACACTATTCTCTATAAATTTCCTGTGATACTAACAAGGAGAATTTGTCTAATGATCAAGAGCATTTTAAGCTTTTTTCATTTCCTTTATTCTCATCACCTTACTGTTTCAATCAGAGATGAAACTGTTGGGAGAAATTAGATTCTTATCACCCTTAAGGCCAATTTAACTTAAATCATGATTCTATGCAATCAGTAAGCCTCAGCCTTTCTAAATAAGAAGATTGATTTAATTAAACAAATCTCCTTCCATTGTTAATGTTTGGCCCTTTTAAAACTGTTGACAAAAATAAATGTTTAGATAAAAGGTTCAGCTGAATTACGGATTGTTTAGGACGCAGTTTTGTTAAACAACGGCTATAAACTTTATTTAAATGATCAGACATTTAGGGTTGAAGATTTAAATGTTTCTTTTCCAGAAATAACTGTTGACCTACCTTCCTCTTCAATTTCTTGTTCCAAGGGAACCAGCACTCCATCATCTTCATCCCTGTAGCCATAATAGTCTGCATCAACATCCTTGTACAATTCTCCCCTAGTCTTCCTTGGAGGTGCTGGTGCTGTAATGTAAAACAAAAAAAAACAAAACAAAAAAAATTACAAAAAAAGTTTTCAGTGACCACTGAGAATTCAGATTAGGAGTTACAATGAAACATATTTTTTCTATTTTAGTTGTTGGATGATTTAACACTTACGTTCCTGCTCAAAAAGTTCTCTGACACCAGGGAGGTCCTTGGCTGCTCCAAAATACCTTGTATCAAAAAGCAAAAATTAATTAAAATAACAGGTAGCATCAAACTCACAATTATCGAAACTGGAGAGTGTCTTGGTGGCCATTTAACTCTTAAAAAAAGTCTGTACTTGAGCCTATTGGGATGTTAGGGATGTCCATCCCAAGGTTTCCCCCCAGCATTTCATCAGGCTTCTGGATAATTCGCTGCTACCCATATATACTCCTGGATAGAGAGAGGCACTGTGGGAGGAAAGTGTTTTACCCAAGGACACAACACAGTGACCTGGCCTGGTCTTGAACTCAGATCTCTCGACCTGGAATCCAGTGCACTTACTGCTACTGTGCATCCCACTGACTCTTAACAGATATTAGATAAATATGCAAATTCTCCTGGTTGTAATTCCAGTATGTTATCTTTTTAAAATGAGACTCTTTCAGTCTGCCATTAGATTTCAGGAAATTTGGGGAACTACTACCTTCAAATATCTCCTGAAGGTATTCCACACAGTTTGCAAGAGCCTTTAATCAAATTCTGAAAGTGTAATTGATTCACCCAACTAAACCTGTACACTAGTAAATCTTGCATTCAGTTCTACTCAAAACTGGGAAATTCCTTTAGAAATTCCTTCAATGGTATTTCAATTAGTAATTGCAGGATCTTTTTCATGGGATAATGAGGTGATGGCAGCTAGCTGGCCATTTTGCCTGCCTACTGGCTCTTTCTGACAGCTCTGAATTCTTCTTTTTTATTCACAAGGAAATGAAAGACACTCCGTAGGGAGATTAGCTAATTGTATCTTAGAGGTTGAGGAATTTACAATGGTACTTGAACTGAGGGGAGTGCAATTTAGTCTGAAATCATACCTGTAATTTCAAAATCTAACAAGTGCACAGCATGATTTTGATTTGAAATCACAAGTATGATTTCAGACCAAAATTGCAAGACACAAAGTTCAATTACATCTTTATTATATCCATTTTGAAAATGCAAAATTCAATCCCTAAACTACAGGATATTTTATTATCCAATCCCGAGCTAGTTTTTTTAAAAGTTGCAAAAGTTGTCTTTCTTTCTTAGTCCTCTAATTTGATTGGTTACCATAAACAAGCCTTGACATCTGATGGGTTGTTGTGTTTTACTCAAGGTTTTCCAATGGCTGGGAAAAAGATGCAATTTAGAGAAAAAAATGGTGTGATTCATGAATAAATTACACTGATGAGAGCCAATGGGATTGCAAGGATCACCAGTGATTTCAAAATTAATGTAATAAAAAGTATAAAACACACTTGTATCCTCTATTTCCAGGTACTTCTTTTCCCTCATGGTCCAGCATCTTTGGTCCAATTTTCTGAAAGAAAAAAAAATGAGAAAATAAGAAAATGATCAGTTTTTGGTAAAACACAGAGTCAGCACATACTTTTCAAAATCAATCAGACAGTCCACTTCCAAAATAATAAGTGGTTTCAAAAATCAAAATTAAACAAAATAGGTACTTTGGAAAAATGTGCTTCGTCGAGTGTCATGATTGAAAATCATACTTCTCAATAATAATTATTTAGTTCAAATAAAATGTAATGTGTGGTATGTTAATTTACATCTTTTATCAGACTTGTGATATAACTCTATTTTAGTACCTATAATAATCTGTATATTAAAGCTGGTTGACTGTGACAAAATTTTATGAAATAATATGTAATGTATTGTACGAAATTGCAAAGTTTGTAAATGTCAGTCTATCATGTACCCTTGTGTAATGACTTTGTTTACACATAACTACACTATATTTGAATATAAATTTGGTTGTGACAAAATTATAATTTATAGTTTACTGGTGGTTTAAGCCAAAACAGCAAAAGGGAAAAAAAATTAGACAAAATCCACTTACACTATAGTCTGGCCCTTCAAGCTCTTTAATGCAATAACTACACATTATTGAATATAATTTTGATTTTGAAAAAATTATTTTTTATAGTGTACTTTCTACCTTGTGTTCAGTATGGTTTGAGCAAATACCACCAAAAGAGTAATAAAATGTTACAGAAATTCCACCAACACCATAGTCTGGCCTGTCAAGCTCTTTCATTCCATGATTACACATTATTGAAGTATACTTTCTACTTTGTGTTGTGTACTTTAACGCTTAAGAATGACTCGCATCTAATTTCTCCCTACAATATCACCTCTGAATCATACATTAAGGTCATGAGAATAAAGGAAATGATCACCAACTGAAAAAGCTCTTGATTGTTAAATGCTCTTGATTGTTAAACAAATTCTCCTTGTCAGCACCTCAGGTTAGGATGTAAAGGGTTAAGCCTATACAGCAAAAGAGAAAAAAAGTACATTAAGTCTACTTACACCATAGTCTGGCCCACCAAGCTCTTTGATTCGATCCTCCCAATGCCTCTTTTCTCGCAAAAGCTTGTTGATCTCATCATTTAGATCACGGATTCTAAACTCACCAAGGCCAGCTGTAGATAAGTGACATGTTCAGTATCATGGTAGAATAATGTGAAAACAAATTCTAGATAGGACAGACTGTGGAAGTGTGTATAGTTGTATGACTGTGGAAGTGTGTATAGTTGTATGACTGTGGAAGTGTGTATAGTTGTATGACTGTGAAAGTGTGTATAGTTGTATGACTGAAGCTCTCTTACTTACCATTTTGAATTTGGGCAACTTTCTTAGCAACTTCTCGTATGATCTATTAACCGAAAAAAAAAAGAACTAAGTTCTTAAACACTTCATTTCGCATTCAACTTGTGCCATGGTAAAATATTTTTCATACATTTACAGTACTGTTAAAACTTGATTATCCAGGCCTTGATGCTCCAGATCTTTTGTTTAGCTGAACTCGCTTCTCTAGTTCCATTTTATCACAAAAATTGATCACTCTCATTCTGGATCCAAAATTTTTTCCCATCAAGCAAAACAGATGCACTGAAAAAATGTTGACGCTACAACATTAATACAGCTTTTAAGACAGTTTTTGTAAATAGCTTGGCAAATTTTGGAAATGATGGAAAATAGTTTGAGACTGTCCTTTTATCTTGGTTCATCAATACTCATATTAGATTTTTCTTATCCAGACTCTAGATTATCTGGACTATTCAACCTAGTTCCTATGAGTCCAAATAATTGAAGTTCAACTGCACTGATTATTGTCATCAAACCTGCTGCCTCCACTTTTCTGCTTCTTGTAAATTATCACATTCTGTTGCTAGAAATGGTCTTCGTTCCTGATAAATCCACCATTAAAAAGATAAAATGTAATCACATGTCAAAAACATTATATCAATCATCTCACAAAAGTTTGTTTAGAGTAAAGTTGGTTTCTTATGTTAAACAACAATACCATTTGCATTACATAGGTTTTGTTTATATGGCATCTATATTGAATGCCCAACCACCATATGTAAGGCCTGAAACTGAACAATGTGGGGGTCTGTATACAGCAATTGACATCTGTTCACCCACTCAGACAGGAGGTATTTCATGAGATAGCTTGAGTTGTGATTGACATTTGGATGGGTATGAACCAAATCAAAGTAGGTATAAATTGTCTGAATTTGAGTATGAATCAACTGAGTACAAAAAGTCTGTGGATAAGACACAACTGGATACTGTGAACAGCACCTTGAAAACCTGAAAGTCTCTTAAATTTTTTTGTCACACATTTTCTTCAAGGTTCTCAAAGTTAGAGACAGTTTCTTTCAACTGAGGGTCTCAGTCAAGAGTTAGCTATCCCTTAGATTAGTTAAGAATTATTATTTCAAGTAAAGAAATTCTGATTATGGTTGCAAGTATTTTGACATAATGGCAGTGTATGGGCTAATACTGTAAACTGCTGCTGAAAAGCGTTGGGCTTACACAACTTTGTAATGGGTTTTAGGAGGGCTTATAAACAGAGGGGCTTGTATCTAAGGGGAGGGCACATATCTTGAGGGGCTTATA